CTTTAAAGGAAGCCCACAGCTGCTTTGCTTGCCCCAAAAGAAACCCTGAAACAACAGTGTGAATAGAAGAGACAAGTCAGGTTTCCCTTGATAACCATAAAGGGCTCAAATTACCTTCCTTTCCATCCCCAAAGGGGGCATAAATACTTCATTTATGGATTGTTTGTGCATGACTAATCTATTTCTACTTGCTAATTGTAATGACTAATGTGTGTTACAAGACAAATATTAGCTTGTAATAATACCTCAACAAGTAGATTTATCAGCGTTAAGCAAAAGTACAAATAATTAGCAGAAGGCAACTGGTATTATCTCTAATGAACTGTAACGATGCTTTCTATGGGGAAGAAGGATGAAGATTTCTCCAGAAGCTGTAGGAATATGTAGGCCAGCTACTGTGAAACCAAGGCAGCAGTCAGGTAATGCTTAATTTTGATGGGAGCTGGGTTCAGTCACACTTCCCCCACTGACGTCAGTGCAAGTAAAGCACTTTTGGCCTGTTCCTACCTGCTGAGACCATATGTCCACTGGGAAGAATCTGGCAGACATCTCCAAGTAGAAGTAATTACAAGAGACAGGAATGGTCCAGATAGCACAGGTCAGGAGTGATTGCTGCACTGCCCAACTCACTGGCACTGCTCACAGAGACTGGTCTGCAGGAATGTTGACCAGACACGAGGTTTGATCCTTTTGACTTGGGCTGTTGTGCTTTAACAACATGAAAACTCTGCAGTGATGTTAGACAGTTAAAGCGGGCTCTCTTTAAGTGAGATGGAGCACCAGAATCATTATAGAATGTATGATAGCCACATAACACCAAAGTGTTTTCCCAAGTGTTGAAGCAAAGTTTGGGTACAGGTTAAAGCCCCACAGCTCATACTGTATTTGAAAGCAGGGTTTAAAGGGACTCTGTTTGCTTGGATACGTCCTGGATGCATGCTTGAGTGCTCACGGACCAGCACCTCCAGTGAATTGCGCCCTTGTTGCCTGAGAGGCACAATTTGCGTATTGATTCCACCCTGTGCCACAATGTCCTTGATGAAAAGATAGCTGGTTAATCCCAGGCTGGAGCCAGAGCACACACACCCCAGCATGCAGGCAGCATGCGTGATGAGAGGATTTGACCTCAAGTATTGGCTTGGGACTGAAGCAAGTGTGACACTAGAGACACTGCAGACAGAGGCTCTGCACACTGATGAAAGCTGGCTCCTGGCCCCAAACTTACAAATGGGATTTTGGCTCATAAATAGTGTCATTACATCAGAAATAGTATTCTCGAGTAACTTTTTATGATAACAGTGTAATCCTTCACTTAAACTCTGTGGGTATTACATAAAATATTTGACCTGTATTACAGGGAGTCAGTCATCCAGCAGCCAATTGCCTTCCCTAAAACCACAAGGTGAACTGAGGGTTAGGCTAGAAATGCTACCCAGCTCTCGTGCTTCCAATTTCTTCCTTCAGTTTTGGTATCTTCCAAGTCTGTAACATCCTGATAAGTGAATATAACATTGCACACTGAGAAGTGGGGTGGAGACGCTTCCCTTTTAGCAGGTATCACAAGCATACAGGAGCGGTGTGCCCAACTCATGCATCACAGTCTGGTTTGGGTTGAAGGGACCTTAAAGCTCCTCCAGCTCCAACCCCTGCCACAGGCAGGGACCCCTTCCACTGGAGCAGCTTGCTCCAAGCCCCTGTGTCCAACCTGGCCTTGAACACTGCCAGGGATGGGGCACCCACAGCTTCTCTGGGCACCCTGTGCCAGCGCCTCAGCACCCTCACAGGGAAGAGCTTCTGCCTAAGAGCTCAGCTCAGTCTCCCCTCTGGCAGGTTCAAGCCATTCCCCTTGGCCTGTCCCTACAGGCCTTCATAAAAAGCCCTTTTCCAGGTGTCTTGTAGGCTGGGGATGTGCTCAGCCTGCAGCTCAGTGATCTGCATCCTATGGAACTTTAGTAAAGTTTGAGTATACTTACACCACCACCCCAGTGACGATTTGCGTGCATCCATACAGTCCATCATAACTGGCTTAACACTAAGACACCAACCTAGAGATTCAGTAGAATTTTTACACTAAGTTTCTCATTTTCCTCAAACTCTACAACTATGATTTTAGTTCACATTTTAGACAAAATATTTCTTCCAAATACAACTTTGCAACACCAACTGTGTTTTGTCAAATACCGTATTAGTTTGGAGTTCTAGGATAGGTTTTAGACACTGCAGTGTGCTGAGACTTGTAGCTTTGTCAATCATTGAACAAAATCTGTTAGCAGCACTCACAATGCTTCTAACTAAAAAAACCAATCCGCATTTCAGAGTAAGTTTGTTTCCACAAAGCCTCAACAAATGTGCAGTAATCAGCAAGTACAAACACTGCTTCTTCCCTAATGGGAGCAGAAGGGTTTGCTTAAATCAGCAGAGTTGATCTTTGCCCAAGTTAGGTCCATGTGCCAGAAAGCTGAAGGTCATCCCTGATTAGACTGGAGCAGGACCCGCTGTGGCTGCAGGAAATGCAGTTGCTCATATGAACTGCTGCTGCCTCTTAGGCAAACTGGGCAGTGCAGGTAAACCAGGAGAAGGCAAGGGCAGATACAGGATTAGGAGCAGAAAGCACCCTCCTGATGTGACCAGGGCATTGTTACTCCTTCCTTCTGGCTTTGCAAATCCACTCCAATTCTTCATTCATCTTCTGCATAAAAATCTCAGGCAAAGGAAGAGTTAGCAGTGAGTTGATCTGTAGGTATTAGGTTGTATGTCTTAAATGAGGCATCAGTCTCCACAGAGGAAAACAATATCGCTGTGTAATTCCTGTCTTTATATGTCATATACAGACAACCATTTCAGTTCCCTGTGGAAAAGAGTGTCATAGGAATCCCCCAAAGCAGTGTTCACTGGGCTGCGGGAAACCAGAAGGCAGAACAGATACCTCTAAGCTTGCCCAGCAGCCTGAAAGAAGGTTGCCTTTAAGCAAACATTTCAAGCGATGGCCAGGCTCTTGAGAAATCAAGGAAGCTGTTGATTAAATTAAAACCAGTTGAAATATTTTGTTCTATCTGAGTATAATTTCTTATAAGGTGAATATTTTCACCTTTTGATAGTGGGAGTGGTGGTGAAGTGGGATTTGCCTTCTGATTCCCTTTAAAATCAGGTTGAAACCTTAAAATCTCAGAGAAATCAGTTATTTCGTATGACAGGGATTGGAAACAGCGATATCAACACAGGGTGCTATGGAATTCTTATGTCTCTGATTCTTCTATTCCTTCTCGTAATTTCAGCAAAAGCTTTCGGCACGTTTATCTGCAGCTGATGGATCACTGAATGCTTACAACTGAAGAAAATGAGCATCAAAGCTATCCAGGAAATTATTTTAATGGTTGGCTCTTTCACAGAGATTCACCTTTCATATGTTTTTGTTTCGCAGTAAAATACAATTTGGATGTGTTTTAAAGGCAGAATTTAGCTACATTTTGCTATTTGCTTTGATTTGCATTTCTTATAACTGAGCGGTAAGCGAACCTGACAGCTTTGTGGCCAAAGGGAAATCCTGATACTAAGGATTGGAACAAAAGGGCCTTAATGAGCTCAGAGCAGAAACAGAATGTAAACCAGACCATTTCTTATTCAATCTCATTATTATTGGTGAGCCCCCAGTGGGTCCTTCCTGGTTGTTCAGATTCCCAGTTTGGAATGGGGTGGGAGGAAGCAAAGAAAGAAGAGAGAACAGGTAAAACCTGTGAAGAATACAGGCATTATTGCAAATATTGAGGTGTGTGTGCCTGCTCAGAGTGGAATCCATGGACACAGCCCCTGCATTTGTGTCAGTGCATCTCTGACTTGTTTAGTTTTTAGATGGCTTGTTTTCAGCAACTTGAGTCTGAACCTTAACCCCTCTTCCAATGATGAAGCCCATGACAATGGCATCTACTTCAAACTGGTTTCTGTTCATCTCATAAGTGCTCACCTATGGCTTGTTTTGCTCAGGATACAGCAGGAACCTCTTCTAATCCAAAACTTCTTTAATGCTTTGTTCTCAGATCAGTTTGCAACCCAGCTTCTTAGCCTCAGAAATCCAGAAGTGTAAATTATGGGAGTGCAACAATAAGATTCACATTTAATGATTAGTAAAATAAATCTAGAGGAAAGAGGAGAGGAAAAACTGGCAAACTGGCATTTCGAATCTGTTAGTGCCTGTAAGGACTTGAGCATGGGTGATGGGTCTATGTACAGCGAAGTATTAAAGTTATCCTTTCCCTGTGAAGAATCTGCACACTGGTTGCTAAAGGCATGAAGTTCTAGAGCTGTCATCTAGAAAGAGTTTCTCATACTGTTTCAGATAGTGGTATTTCATTCCCTATATCCATCTAGGAATGCTCCAGCCAAGGCTTTGAGAGCATGGAGACTGTTCTGTCTTCTAAAGGATCCTGGTTTTCTTTCTTCCAACAGTGTGTGAAAGTACTTACACCAGAGCTCAATCAAGCCCCCAGACAATGGTATGGATGTGCTAAAGTCAACCCTTACAGAGCTTCTATACGCTTATAACTGCAGGATCAGACCCCCTGTCATCAATATAAAAGCCAAATAACCTGTAGCTGAGAGTTGCCAGCTCCTTCTTCTAGATCATAGTGGCAACCTAACATATTCAATTCAAATCTGTTTGGGTTTTGCTTTAAGCTTCTTCATAGTGCTTTGCTTTATAGGACTGTGGAATCTATTGGATGGACGTAAAACTGCAGCTGGGAAATGGCACAGTTTGCAACAAGAACAATAACTCTATAAAAGAAAGAATTAGTATGAGCGGAGGAGAGCTGGAAGATAACAGAAGACAGAGCTACAGGCTCTAATGTGGTCAGTGATCACAGACCATAAACCATCGTTTTTGTTTATCTTCTTTTGTAACACAACTTGAGCATGGCTTAAAAAAAGTAAAGATTTCTTAGGGCTTAGAAGAAGAACTTGATCTGTTCCCACCATAAAGCAAAATGACTTTTAGACTTCAAAAAGAGATTTTGGAGTGATCTGGTTGATGTGCCATTTGCCCACACTTTGTCTAGAAAGGCCACACTGTCCCTGGCAGAGATTTTCTGCTTCAGTTTGAAGCTGCAAAGTAAACCTCGTCAGTTTGGCAGCAGAAATCCATCTATATTTCAAGGCAGTGTTTTGCAATTCTTGTTTTTACAGCCATAAACACCTTCTAATGCCAAGGGGGAAGAGGACTTTAATCCAGATAAAATAAGATTCTTAAACACTGAAAACTCTACTCAGATTGATGGGGCACTTTGAATATTGGAGCTCCCATGCCAAGAGCTGCACATTCCATTTGTGCAGCATGGGGTGTTGCCCGACTGGCTGCTTCCAAGGTCACAGCACCTCGAGCTGCATCACCCATCCAGAGTTACCCTCTACTCTGTTCCAATACATAAACTTGGAGTTTTGTTCCCAGAATGTCTTTCCAAATGTTATTTCCATATTTACTTTGCCTTTTAGCCTTAAATCTTTTTTTTCTTCTCTTGTAGTATTTTTATCCTGTATCTTATTTAACACCTTTTAATAAGCTGAATTCTTACCAAGCGAGCACAACAACATCTGAAAGATGAAATCTATCTCTTTGATGGTATGAAACCATGACCCAACAGGCCCATCCTCTGCCTGGAGGGCTAGTAGGAGCTTCATGTTAGATTATTAAATCCTTCAGAAACTCAAGTACGTTTATTCGTAATGCAAGGTCTCGAGCCAACATCACAATTCTTCCCTCTTCTGAGTGCAAAAATAACTTACAATTAAAAAAGCATTTGCCTTTTTGCTCTGCCTAAATCCCTCTCCCCTTTTATTCCTGAAGAGTTTCAGTTGTCATTTGCTGCTTTCTGGTTTTCCGAGCAGCTCATTTGCTCTGGTTCTCTGGAGTATTTAAATGAGCATTTCTGTGTCTCACAGGAGCCAAGAGGGCATGCTGGTGCACAGGAGCGTTCCTCACCTCCAACTGAAAATAAACATGCTCCCTTTGTCTCCCTTTGGTAGCTGTCTGTGCAGGAGTCTGCTGCCCACCTCCTGCTGTACTGAGATTTAGACCTCGTACACCTTGAGTGCTCAAAGGCCTCTGTGGCACAGAGGGCCTTCAGAAAGCACAAGTGAAAACTTGCTATCACAGCGATAGTGTTTGACTGTCAAATGGGACATCAGCTACAGGACTGCCTAGAGCTTTAGTTTTGAATCTTATCTACTCTGATTTTCAACAACTTCTCTTTTTATCATTAGATTTTCTTGAAAGTAACAGTTTGCATTTTGCTGTTTGCTTCATCCCTACCAGTTATACCTGAAATGTCATCTAAATACCATCATGATGTAGGAAAGAAACCAATCTACTCTGCTCCTGAACTGGTTTTATCCTCCCATCCACAGCCACGTTTCTAGCAACCTTCCTTGTCTCTTCTGGAATTAGTTGCTGGCAAGTTAAACTTGAAACAGGCAAATTTAGGCATCCTTTTTTTCCTGAGCCCCTCACACTTCTATCACTGGTAAAGGCACCATGCTACCAGTATTACTCTCTGTAACGAGTCAGGCACCTTTGACTCCTTCCTTCCTTTCACTGCTCATTCTTCTGTTCATACCACTCTCCACTGCTCTCACTCAACTCCTGCTGCTACTTCATCCGTACAGTAAGAGGTGACCTTTTCTCTTTCTAGATGGGAAAAGACCTTGTATAGGCTCCTCTTACCTACTACCGCTTCCTTTCCTGCCTCTCTTCTGTCTTTTACAATCCAGAGAACAAGGAGCTACTGAGGTAATTTGCCTGTTTTTTGATAAAGATACAGGAGCACTTTCTTTTAAGTCCATTACAGCTTTACATCTGCTTCACCAGGGTAAGCTTAAACTTCTCATTCTTGTCATTATGACTCACCTATTAACTTGAACTTTTTCTCTTTTCACTTCCCTAATGATACGACCTGCAGTTGAGCTAAGTCCTCTACAACAGTTTGCAGATTTCTGTCAGTATTATCTTGTAGGTGGGAAAACTTCCCCAAATCAGCCTTCCAGGTCATTAATCTTTCCTCAAAGTGCTCCTTTATAGATATTGGTAGTACAGTATTCATATGAGCAAATGTAATTGTTTTCAGGGGATTTTTATGTGGGTAACTCTCAAGAGACACATTGAAACATTGACCTCTACTGTGTGTATGCTTTTCTGACCCCCAGTCCTGACCCTGAAACAGTTGTGCCTTGTGAGAAGCTCCTTCCTCTAAGTGCTCCCAGTGACATCAACAGATTTAGTCAACTGAAGCTATTTACTTGGGAAAGGCATTTGGAAATCCCTGCAGTGTAACTACTGCGGGCTCTGGCCTCACATCTGGCAGCAGCCTGCATTTGGTCTCCTCTTCATCCTGAAAAGGAAAGGAAACAGAAACTTGGGGAAGTCCCAGCAGACACCTCCTGCTGCTGCTGTCAGGATGATGCCGAAATGCTGATGAATGGTAGAGCTCTGGAAACCTCAGCTACCATCACCTGGGAAGGTTTGGAATCACATGGGCTGTGCTTGACTTGCTTTTGTGCGCTATATAATAGTCCATGTTACTAATATCCTTGGTTTCTATAGCTATTTCTATAGTAAGGGACAGTGTAAACACATTACATGGGTCTCTTTTGTAGTATTATTTGATTCTGAAGGTGAGCGAGGATGACTAATTCAAAAACCCGGAGTCTAATCACTAGCAGGGCTTAAACTATGGGCCTCACAAACTGCTCTTCTACTTACGTATCTGTTTTCCTCTTCAATAGAATTACCCATCCCTTCAGAAAATCAATATCCTATTTTAAAACTCTGGGAATTTGTTATCTTTACCAGGAATAAATAAGCTTACTAATGGAGCCATTGCTGTGTCTTAATAAAATGAAAATACTAGTTTGCAGGCAATCTGTAGGTTATCATCAGTGTTTAAAAAAAACCCTCACAAACCAGTATGGATTTAATGTGTGAAAATCTCTAGTCATGTTTTGTGTTAAAATTAGATGCTATTTATTTCTTTATGCCAGTGAACTACTTTGGTTGTTTGGGGTATTTTTGCCTCTTAAGTCTTCAGTTTGTGGAAGGAAAGGGTTTTAGTTTAAAACCAAAATGAGTTTTTATTTATAAACTTGACCAAAAAATGTAATTACTGGATGAATTAAAAAAACACTTAAGAAATTAATGCAACAACATTAAGAAATTAATGCAACACCATGAAAAGCAGACAGTGAGAGCACTGGAAGCACACCTGAGATGGAGCTGCTCAACTGTACTGTAGTACAAGAACATGCAATAACAAAATACGTAAGTCATAGAATAGCTAGGGTTGGAAAGGACCTTAAGATCATCCAGTTCCAACCCCCCTGCCATGGGTAGGGACACCTCACACTAAACCATGGCACCCAAGGCTGGTTCTTTATCATAGATAAAGAACTTGTAAAGTTCTTCCAGTTTTATTAATCACCAGTGAAATTGCTACCTTGAGTAGAATGCATTAAAGAGCAACTCAGGAGCAGGGGGTAAAGAAAGTTATTTTCTTTGCTGCTTTTTAATACATGTTACAGGCCATTTCCTTGTATTCTATTCATAATTTGGGGCTCAGATCATTCTCCTCCTCCACCCTGTCCTTTCCCTTACTGGGAATTGTAGGCAACTGGGGAAGAAACTTCAGACACCAGTAAAAGTGACACTAAATGAGATGCTGTGTCTAACTCAGACACATGGAAAAATAGGTTTTACCTAGCAGTGAGATGCCTTTGACGTGAAATGTCAAAATGCTGCTTCTTTTTGACACTGGCAAAACTTGGCTGAGCTCCACTTCTGCTACTGGTGGAAGAAAGGCCAAACTCCCCATACGCAGAGCTGGGAGAGCCCTGTCTGAATCGGATGCTCAACCCACTTGGATACGCCAAGTGAATATTCCTTTCATGACTCGGAGCTATGTGAAAGTAGAACAAAATGGTTGTACACAAAGACAGAATCAACCCAAGCAACTGCTTGGCATTGTAGCTTTGCTTTTAGCCTCCTGACATCTTTGTTTCTCCCTCCTCCAGGTTTAGTTTGAAGCATAAGCAACACCTGCTGGTGAAAACAACGTCTAGGGAACTTCTGAGCCATCCTCCTGGCAGAACAGGTTTGATCATGACTGCAAGCTCTGGGTGAGTTGTTCTAGAGTGCAGAAACTGGCCTATCATCCTTCGGAATGATTTTGTAAGGGGAGGTAACCAGCTCCTTCCCAGAGTATGCACCAGCTCTGTGTGGTGAATGCTAAGTGGGATCCAGGGATCTCCAGGAGCTCCGTTCTGCATCTCAGCTTTGGAATTGCAGCTTGTCAGTCATAGCGTGATACAATGGCAGAATTAAGTAAGAAGTTCCCGTATATTGCCACTGTGGGAAAATGGTCGTTTTGTTAAAGCACAAATCCCAATGTTGTTGGTCATATTCATGGATTGATTCTTTAAAAGAAGTAAAAGACAGCAGGGAACAAAGCTTGAATACCCTGAGCTGGGAAACACGTTCTGCCACATGCCATCTAGGATGTGCATGAGGAAGTGTCACTTGTATGAGATATTTGTAAGTGGAACCATTTGTCTTTGAAATAACACTGTTGTCAGAGGACAGCCAGGGAGCTTTTCCTTTCTTACTGTGAGGTGAATGATTAGAGCCTAATGATTCCTTCTCTCTGTGATAACTGAACATAATATAACGTCAAGTAACTGGCAAACCACTTGAGATGCCATCTGTTTTCAGTTTAAAACCAACGTGAACTTTGCGATGCAGGGATGTGGTCAGCACGTTTGACTGGTAGCCCTTCACGACTGCAAGCAGCAACTCCTCAACTTCATTGACAGGTAATTTAATTATACTAAAAGATTTTTAATTCCAAGAATAGCTAATGCTCATGAGAAGCCTGGAGAACGGCAGTGCTGACGAGTGGGAGCGTATTGACATTTCTGCCCGTGCAAACAGCTCTGAATCATGGCTTAGACCCCACGTTTTGTGAGAAAACTAAGCGTAATAAGTCATCCCTACTTGGAAGACCCAGAAGAGGAATGCTGACAAGTGGAAATACCAGTTGGAGGGTAAGCAGCATATGGAGGAAGCAGGAATTCTGCAGTGTCTTAAGTCTCAATTTCAAAATATTTCTATAATAAGAAAATCATTTTTTTCATGATGGGGGATATTTCTTTATCCCAGAAATTGACTGGATGCCTCCTCAAAGGTTTGTTGTACCCTGGTGTAGTGATCAGACAGACAACTGGCACTGCAGTGTGTTTACCAAGAGCTGTGGAAGGATGTGGGTTTGGGTTGGTTAATACATATTGCTTGACACATTTCAAGTGTCAGATTGTGGTCTCTGTTTACAAGACGTGTTGACGAAAGGAAAGGGAGTAACATGGTCCAAAGCACTGCCCTGGCTGGGGCTTGCCAGCCTACAGCAATGGCAGTTTGGCTCCTCAGTGAGCTTTGGTCCTCGCTTTTACAGCATCTTCATGCTGCTTTGGTTCTCCTGGATGGACTGAAGGAGGGGGAAAGTCCCCCCTTGGGGTGAGTCTGGGCTTTGTTTGGCCAAGCAATAGGTATAAAAAAATAGGCAATTTGCAATTGTAACAGAAAGGGAATACTTGTGTTTGAAAACACTTCTTCCCACTGCTACTGGCCCAGTCTTTGCCAGACAGAATTCCCACTCAGTGTGATGGGGAAGGGAATGGAGTGAAGTAGTCAAACGAGGAGTGTGAGTGGTGAGAACACTGGTTGTGGTGGATGTTTTCTTTTGGCCCAAGTGCTGTCACTCTGTATACAGTGCATGTAAATGCTGTTACCCTGGCTTGTGTTAGAGACCTGGTGCTGTGAGGGAAGGCAGAGCAAATGCTGTTCAGTTGTTAGGATAAACGCTAACCTGAAATCACTACAAAGGAAAAAGTAAATTGCAGAAGAGCTGCCTGGATAAGATTAAAATCACATAGGGAAAGCTGCGGCGGAGCACAGGCTTTCCCCACTGAGAATGTGAATTTCACAGCTAAACTGGAGCTGGACTGTTAGAGAATCTTCATCTTTAAGCAGCGAAGTTGGGACGTTTGCTTTGTGTCACCTGCGGAGCATCCTGTCAGTGAGCGGTGCCCGCTCCCAGGAGGAGGGCTGCGGGCAGGGGAAGCACCGCTCGGGTCCGGTCCCGTTCCGTCTTTGGAGGTGTTTAATGTTTACCTTTTCTTTCCTGTCTGTCCCTTCCTCTTCTCCCCACCGGCACTATGGATGGATGAATCTCACCCGTTCAACTCCAGTATTGTCGAGTTCCTGTCGTTCAGCCCACCGCTGCCGGTGTCTGTGCGGCTGGGTCAGCCGATACCGTTGCGGAACCGTCCGCGCTGTCGGTGCCGCCGTGTTCCAGGCGCTGTGCGGAACTTGACCTCGACCTTTCAAGGGGCGCTCGGCGGGGCTGCCCCGCTGGTACGGTGTGCGAACTGGGAGCTGCTGCGGGAGCGCGGCCGCCGTGGGGAACGCGGGGAGAGGCGCCGGCGATAGCGGCGGCTACGGGGGGACAGGACTGGGACAGGGAACGGGAACGGGACCGGGAGAAGGACTGGGACTGGGACCAGCCCCGCCCCGCCCCTCCCGGCCCGGCCCCGCCCCTCAACAGCGCGCGCCCTCCCGCTCCCGCGCGCCCCCAGCGGCCCGGCGGGCGCCGCCGCGGCGGAGGGAGGGGCCGTTGGGGAGGGGGAGCCCCAAAGCCGGGCCCCCGCCCTCCGCCTCGCGTCACGTGGTGTGCCGGCGGCCAATGGCGAGGCGAGCTGCGGCTGGCGGCCGCCATTGCTGTCAGAGTGGAGAGAGGCAGAGGCGGGTGTGTGAGGAGCAGCGGGTGAGCGGGGCCGCGGGGCGGGCAGCGCCGGGCGCGGCGGGGTGAGGACGGGCACGGACACCGCTCCCTCCCTGGGCCGGGGCTGCCGCCCGCCGCCCGCAGCGCCGGGAGCCCCGCACGGAGCGTAAACAAGGCAGCGGCGGCAGCAACAGCAGCAGCAGCGGCAGGAGGAGGAGGAGGAGGAAAACACCATCCACCCACAGCCAGCGGCGGCAGCAGCGAGGGGCGGCCGGGCGGGGAGGGGAGGGGACGGCCTCCGCCGGCACGCGAGACAGCGCCCCCCGCCCGCCGCCGCCGCCACTGCCCGGGGCCGGGACCCTCCCCCGCCCCGCCCGGCCTGGCCCGTGCCCCGCGGGAGGAGACCCTCCCCTCTCCTTCCCCTCCGCCGCAACGTGTGCCCTGGCCGGGGGGGGGCCAAACCTGGACGCGGAAGGAGGGCCCCAGGCCCCCCCCCCCCCGCTCCGTTCTTGCTTGAGGCGGCCTGGAGGACCGGAGGACGCTCGTTCCCCGCTGCGTGCTGAGGGGCTCGGACCGAGGCGCCGCCGCTGCCCGCCGGACCGGGCCCCGCGGCGTGAGGAGCCCCCCCTCCCGCCGCGCGCCCCCTGCCGGCTGCGCCACCCTGACCCGCGAGCCCGTACCGGGACCCGCACCCGGAGCGCGGCGGCCGCCCCGTCCGACCGAGGCCCCTTGGAGCGGCTGCGGCTGCTGCCCCCCCGCGCCGCGCCCGTCTGCCCAGACATGCCCCGCTTTGGCGGCCGGGCTCGCCGAGGATCATGACCGCAGCGGCCAACTGGGTGGCGAACGGGGCCAGCCTGGAGGACTGCCACTCCAACCTCTTCTCGCTGGTGAGTGCCCGGGGGGGAGGCGGGTTTACCGGCTGCCTGCAGCTGCCGGGGGCTTTATAGCCGGGGCCCTCGGGGCTGCTCCTCCGCTGGCCCCTCCCCCGGCCCGGCTCCCCGTGTTTATTTTCCTCTTTAACGTGGTTCGCCGCCAGTGTGTGCGGGGCTCGGGCTGTTGCGCTCCTCTGAGCCGGGGAGCGCCTCTGGTATGTCGTACCCCCCCACCCCGCCGGTGCCGCCTGCTCATCCGACTGCTTTCCCTGGTAAACAGCATTCTCCCCGCCTCCCCTGGCGCTCCGTGCCCTGCCTGCTTTGTGCCTACCCGACTGCGGGGTTTTTCTCTCCTTCCACAATGACAAACGCCATTTCAGCAGCAGTAGACAGTCATGTAGAGTGATTGTCTGTCGGACTTAGGCTCGGGGCTATCCTGCCTGCACCGTCAGTCGTTGTTACAGCGTGGTCTCTTGGCATCGATCGTACTTGGGGGCGAGAGGTAAAAAAACAGAAAACCCAACCCAAAAACCTTTTAATTTTTGATTCTCCGAAGAAAAGCAGTGGTTGGAAATACGGTGTGCTGCAGAGCTTGTTTGCATAGATGCTGTCTGCCCATCTTCCTGGTGACTGACAACTTCCTACGCGTATCTTGTGGTTTGATGTTGCAGAAAGTACGGTATCAGTTTTGGCTAGCTGTGGAGCTGTGATTTCAAACAAGAAAACAACTTGTTTCTGTGTAGGGGCAGAGTCGTTGGGAGATACTTTGCTTCAGTTTACCTGACACGTACAGGGATGTTATCCCTTCTAGCCGGGCAGCAGCTGTGTGAGGGAGAGGACAAGTTGATCATCAAGAGCCTTCTAAGTGCTCTGTGTGCAGGGATAATGCTGGAGGGAAGGTGGGACTTTTGTGGGGCATGGAATGGTACAGGTAGATCAAAAACTTGTAGTGCCAGTTTGTGGATAGTGCATGTGGTAGATACCCCCTCCCTGCATCAGAGCCCTGCCAGTGTTGGAGGTGGGAGCATGTGTTGTGGTTTTTGTAACAGAAAGGAGGAGATCTGTTTTTACAGGAGTTCAGAGGAAAAAAAGACACTTAGAGCTTGATCATTTGCATTTTTAATTGTTTTATGCTTTTTAAACCTTTATTGTATGTTTGTTACGTTGCCCTTTTGTGGTGTATTTTTAATGTATGTATGTTTAGGTTTCATTATACCTGTTAAGAATCTGGGACAAGAGCTGTAGTCACTGTTAGGTACTGGCCTGGAGATTCTTCTTCTTCCATTAGAATAAATGCAGTTCATATTTGACTGTTCATTGAACTGTTACATTAGATAAAGCTGTATCTGTGCTTTTCTGCCTGCTAGCATTTTGTAATAATTATAAGTTTATAGCAGTGCTGTTTGTATTGAAGTGCAGGAGCTGTTACAGTGATTATGCTGCTCTTAGTAAGGAAAATAAAGCAGGAAGTGTGAGGGAGACAATTGTCTTTGGCTGTCAGAGCAAAGGAGTGAGTGGCTTGTCCTTTACAGGAAGGTTGTGAAGTCCCGACTTGTTAATGCAGAATTGAGTGGTGTGTTCTGGAGAAGTGAAACTCTCCATGTAGTTGCATCTGCAAGTCTGTCACTGGTAAAAATACTCGTTGGTGTGCAAGTGAGCATAAATCATCCCGTGAAGTTATTTCATAGCTGTTGTGGTTAGAGCTTCTGGTTATTTGTTCCTCCCCTACCGGACCAGGGAAGTGTTAAATTGGAACTGGGTGTGTAATATCATTGAAATAAGTTTAGCAGAATTCTTTTGCAAGTGGGTTTAATAATGAGTTTAATGCGCAACCCTTTCATCTCCCATGTAATTTAGTGGGAGGAATCCATACCTGTAATGTGGTGCTGTGTCTGAAACTGTCGTGTTTTGTTGTGTTTTGGCTCCGCTTGCAAAAAAAAAGGCACCAAAGTAGTTTTTAAATACAACAGGTATGTAAATTATTAGGTGATTTATTTTAGATGATGTTAGTATTTGTGAGGATTTATGTTCCAGTGACACATATTGAGAAGGGAAATAGTGACTGGGAATACGTGGCTAGCTCCACTGACCCTGTCACCTCATGTTGTCATATTCCTCTCAGGATTTATGAACTGTTAGAGCTACAGTAGTCTGGATTACTAATGCGAGAGACTGGTGCGGATCATTTACTTTCTCAGTGTAGCAAAACCAAAACCTGCACAAACTGAATCGACTGTTGAGGGGAATTCACTCAGTCTTTGGGAGTGAGGTGGAGCACAAATCTTTCAAACTCTTCTGCTATTAGAAATTGACAGTTTTTTTATCACAGGCTTTGTTTTGGGTGGGAATCGCAAATGTTCTTGACTGGAGGGTTACAGTTTTGAAGTAGCTGTGATCCACTGTGATTCTGTTTGGCTTTGGTTAAATGGTGCTTCTCCCCACAGCCATTCGTTTTGTTCCAGAAGGAACACTGTCTCCCCACCCCGGAGGAGCAGAGCTCTGCCTGCTGAGTTACTGATTCACGCTGGTTTAACAGTTCATGACTTGGAGCTTATTTTCCTGCTGACTGTAGGCAGTCTTTAGGGAGATTTCAGGTACCACTGTTGCCTCTGAATCCTTTTACAGAAAATACTTCCTAAAAGCATTTTAGCAACCGATCCTGTCTTATCAGTGATGTCCAGAAGTGTTCTTTGCCTTCCCCTCACCTGGAATACTTAGAGTTCAGTCTGAAGTTAAGGTTTTAAAGTTAGCTTGAAATATCCAGATGCTTAGTGGTATCTTGCTTGCATAGCTGTGTTTCATGGAGAGTCCTTCTGGACTTACAGATGCAAAGAGCTGTTGCCTGTCATGTGGGTTGCTCAGTACTGCAGTGGGAATCCAGTGCTGTTCCAGCAAATGGGATACTGTCTGTGTGCTCTGTCAGGGGAAGCTGCCACAGGCAGCTTTAAATACAAAGCATCAGTAAGATGTTATCGGGGCTGTGTAGGCATTAGGCAGAAGCTCTTCCCTGTGAGGGTGCTGAGGCGCTGGCACAGGGTGCCCAGAGAAGCTGTGGCTGCCCCATCCCTGGCAGTGCTCAAGGCCAGGTTGGACACAGGGGCTTGGAGCAAGCTGCTCCAGTGGAAGGGGTCCCTGCCTGTGGCAGGGGTTGGAGCTGGAGGAGCCTTAAGGTCCCTTCCAGCACAAACCAGGCTGGGATGCTGTGATTCTGCTTTGCATGTTTGTCATCAGAATACAGGTCAGTTACAAACTTGCTTCTACTGGCATGCTCAGCAGGTAACAGGCTTGCTCATTAAAAACACACTTCTATCTGAAATGGCTACTTTTCTAGCACAGCGGTAGAAGCAAGTGTATCCATCCTGGCTCTGTCCTTCCGGTAGTCAAAATGTCTGCTGTGGCTTCTGAAAAACAGTGTCTGTTGATCAAAACAGTATTTAATAAGCAATTGTGGAGGGGCAGTTTTATTTAAATACTAATTAAGCGCTGTCTAATAACTATTTAGAGACAAAATGTTCTGAGGCAATATGCTTTGTATTAAAACTTCAGGCCCAGCTGGCAAACAGTCTTCCAGTGAATAATCCTGCATCATAGGAGTAGTCTGACTGAAATTAATTGGACTTTTCCTGTGAGTAAGGGTTAATCATATGATGGTGAGGGCTTTGTGAAATGTGGAGAAGCTCCCTCCACTGTCTGGCTTAGCTGCTGTGGTGGGAGCAAGGGCACAA